AGGAGCGCGTGCGGTGCCGTTGCTGCCGAAGACCCCGGCGCTGGGGGAAGCGGGGCCTGGGAGCGGAGTTCCTCTATGGTGGAGCGGGCTGGGGCGTGTGCTGCTTTACCTTTTGAAAGGTTCACGGTTTTGTCGCCTCTAGTAAGCCTAGCGTTCGGGAGGCTGAGGCGGGAGGATCGCCGCGAGTTCAAAGTTAGTCTGGGCTGCGTGGCGAGACCTCCTCTCAAGAAAAAGGAAAAAAACAAAAACAGAAACAAACCCGTTGGAAAGAATGCGAGAGGTGAGATCTTGCATTGCTGAGGAGTTTGGCCTTTGTAAGAGAAGTGCCTGCCCGCTTGGCCTTGAGTAGTTTCACTGATGGGTGCTGGCACTGTATTTCAAGAGTTTAAGAAGGCCGAGTTTGGAGTCTGGGCACCTCCACAAAATGAGGGCTACGCTGAGGACAAGGGCCAGAAGACACTGATGGGCAGCTGAACTGAAAGGTGCCACGGAGATCGGAAGTTTCTGTCCGTGAGGAGGATCTAAGCAGTCAATCCCAGGGTACTCCACCGGAAAACAAAGAAATGCGCCCCTCCGAGACCTTGTTTCTCCTCTCCTCCTTAATGCCCACGTTTTGTCTTTGTCAAGTTCTCCTGTCCATTTCCTTCCTTTTTTCTTTCTTTTTCTTTTTTTTGAGACAGGGTCTCACTATGTAGTTCAGGCTGGCGCCCAGTGCTGTCTCAGATTCACAGCGATCCTCCTGTGTCGGCTTCCAGAGCTCTGGGATTACAGGCGTGTGCCACCTCTTCTGAATCCTTCCCACATTTATGCTTGAAACCAGTGTATCTGTGCTGGTGAGAGTGGGAAGACTAATCTCGGTAGTGGAGGTGAGAGAGACCTCAAGTCTGTCTGTGATGACTGGGTGGGTGACAGTGCCATTCACCAGTAGGCAGTGAAGGGGGTGTTTGGGGGAGCAGAGAAGCAGTTGCTGAACTTTTGGACCGGTCTGGTCTGACCTCTGAACCGAGCGGAGATGGCCAGCATCCTTTTGGATAATCAGAACTAGAGCTCTGCGTACAGAGAGCGAGAGATGGAGATGGTGGATCTCAGCATCTGTTTTTAAAACAGGAACTGGCCGAGGAAGGAAGGAGAGCATCTCTGCTAACTTTGCAAACTCAATTGTCAGTCTGAATCTTTACCTAGTGTTGCTAACTCAGAAAGCCCTGAGGTAGGAAGATTGCAAGTTCAAGCCCAGCCTGGGCAGTGTGTGGACTTAAAACGAAAAAAATCAGAAAAGGCGGGGGATGAAAAGATGCTGTATTCTTACTTCCTGGTGAAGTCTTTGGATCTGCCGCTCCCTCTCTTCAAAACTCACGCCTTACTCTGTGTCATCTGATCACCTCCCTCTCATTTTCCAGGTCCCAGTTCAGTTAGCAACTTTCTCTAGAAGCGTCTCTGTCCTGTTACCTCCCAGCACTGCCGCCTTCCCCGTTCGAGTCACTGTCGCAGCCACCTGGTTATTTCGCAGTCCTTGGCAGTGTTGAGAGCTCATCTGGCATGGTGGCTGCCCATAGTGTGAGTTGAGGGTTCTCAAGGGACGTGTGAATCCCAGGAACCACAGTAATAGCAGTCTTCCACATTGGCCAAGTAAAATAACTCCAGCTAGGAGATCCTGAGCGCTTTTATGTGAGTTAGTTTGGAACCACAGTGAAAATAGAAAGCAGCTTGCATTTCCTAGAAAGTGGGAAATGAGAAAATGAAGACAGCTCCTGTAGAATACTCTTTGAGTAAACTATACAGAGGATTTCCTCCTTATAATGATTTTTATTGTGAGCTTTATTATTTAAAAGAACAGTATATGGGGCTGGGGATTTAGCTCAGTGGTACCACCACCTGCCTCGCAAGGTCCTGAGTTCAATCCCCAGTCTAGAAAACCAAAAAAAAAAAAAAAAAAAAACTACAGTATAGTTTAATGGGTGAGAGCATGGGCTCCTTTGCATCCCAACTTTGGTCAAGTTGCTTAACGTATGTGAGCCTCAGTTTCCCATCTATAAATGAGGATTGGAAATGTCCCTACTTCATAAAGGTCTGTTAAAAATGCAGAGAGTGTTGCCATCTTAGAATACAGATCATGGCACATAGAAAGTAGCTGCTCTGTGCATTATCTCTTATTTTAGACATTGTGAAAGAATGAATCACCCTTTATTTTTGCAGATCACTGCAGCTCAGAGAGGTTACATAACTTGCTCAAGGTCACACAGCTAGTAAGTAACCTCGGCTCATCGTTGTCAAGTTGGGTAATGACGTGAGCCATGTGTGGTGGTCTACACCTGTAATCCGTGCAGTCTGGGACCCTGAGTCAGAAAGATCTCAAGTTCAAGCCCAACCTAGGCAATTTAGTGAGACCCTTTAGCTCAGTGCAGAGGCCCTGTATTCAGTCTCTCACAACTGGTAATACAAGGTGTGCCCCAACACTTGGGCTTATTTTACGATTTTGAAGATTGTTGGTATTAGTAACCTGTTTGTGTGGGTGGGAGATCTGAATGCTGGGAATCTAGTGTGTGAGGGAGAGGAAGAGAAGCAATCCTAGGCAGGCAGGCTGTCTTTCCTCCCCCTTCTGACAAGGTCTCCCTATGTATTTGAGGCTGGCCTTGAACTCATGTTACCCAGGCTCTCTTCAGACAGTGATACTCCTGCCTTAGCCTCCTGAGCTGGATTATAAGTGTGTGCCACCAGGTCTGTCAATCCATGCATTATTTAGATTTCTCCTTTGAGAATGAGGTTGGTGAATTCAAAGAGAATGCAACAGTGTGCTGGAAACAATGAAAGTAGTTCAGGAGGTTTTTCTCAGAAAGGGAATTCTTGAACATGGGGTTTTCATCGTTTTTTGAGGCAAGGCCTCATTCTGTAGTCCTGGCTGGCCTCGAACTTGTGATCAGCTGCCTCAGCTTCCCTTGTGCTGGGATTACAGGCGAGTGCTAGGTTGTAGGTGTGATCCACCAGGTCCACCTCGAATTTGGTCTGCACCCCCACCATCCGGTCCTGTCCGGCAGCTTGTAAGCCCCCATGAGAACAGAACCTGTTCACATTGGAGTCTTTCAGCAGTGAGCCCGAGAGAGAGGAATTGTGCCCTGTTGTGAATGTGTTAAACTGAGGGAAGGACTAAAAGGAGAGGGCAGGGGAGGGACAGGTTGGTGAGAGGTAAGAGGAGAACACAGAAGACTGAGCAGTTACGGAAAGCGTGAAGAGAGGGAGTTGTGAGATGCCTCCAAGTGAGGACTCCACTTTGTTAATCTCCTGTCTTGCCTTGGGACATCTGGTGAGGCACACTTGTGTGTGTCTACCAAGTGTAGATGGTAATGTCGTCCTCGTGTTTCCAACATGCTGAAACCATGCGTCTCACAAGCAGCTTCGTGTGTGTGTTCTCGGGCTCTAACGACCAGAATAAGTATGTCTTTTCATGGAGATTACTGCATTGTTCTCTGTCATTCCTACATATTTCGGTGGGTATCATTGTCTGCACGAAGGTAAACTCATTTATCATTTGAGGCAAGATTAGTGCTATCCATCATGGTCCGAAAGAACCATATTCTGTGACCCAGCAGTGTTCTCACTCAAGTGTGTAAGATGGATACACTAGGACGTAGGAAAGGAAGCATTGCTTCTCTTTTTCCTTCCGGAACCAGGGATGCCCATTTCCACACACCCTGAACCATGTTGGGCAGGGGCACTGTTCCGTCTTGGGTGTTGCCACTCAGACAAAAAGCACCTCTTCTTGTTTGGTTAGTGTTTCCTATTTGTGTGAAACCAAGCTCCTTGAATGTCGAGTGACTGACTGCCCTTATTTTTCTGTGTTCTGCCTGTGAATGGGCTTTTGTTGGAGTTTGGTCTTTTTCTAAAACACTTTATCTCCTTTTATCATATGTTGTAAATATTTTTTCCCGGTTTATTTGATTTCTGGCTTTATGACATTTTATTCCCTAGTCAGAAGTATTTCATTTTTATAAACATTGTTGGCAGACTTTTTCTTGATAAATTCTAAACACTTATTCCCAATTATTCTTCATTGAAATTAGAAGTTTTTCACAGTGACTACGCACTAAAGATTTCTTTAAAGGTAGTTTGAAATCCTTTTTCCACTGCTGTCCTTTTAAAGTAACGTGTGTTTCAGAGCAATGTCTGCAACTCGAGATGCTGACATTCAGTAGATTCTATTTAAAATCTCATTTTTAAAATCTGAGAAGGCATTACTTGATTAGTCGTCAGCTTTAATATTGTCAGACAATGCATGTTTAAAACTGCTTTTTGGAGCCTGTAATCCCAGCAGCACTCAGGAGGCTGAGGCAGGAGCATCACCATGAATTCAAGGCCATCCTGGGCTTTGTAGTGTGTTCCACACCAGCCTGAACTATATAATGAGACCCTGTCTCAAAAAACAAAACAGAAAAACCTCTGCTTCTTGAAGTTTTATTGTTTCACTTGTCTGTTTACTTACTTTTACAGAATTAGAAAGCTGCCTGCAGAAGTTTGAGAAATGGCAGCTAATGGAAGCACCGGCGTCTTCAGCTCTGCATCGTTGGCTGTGGAGTACATAGATTCGCTTCTGCCTGAGAATCCTCTGCAAGAGCCATTTAAAAATGCTTGGAATTCTATGTTAAATAATTACACAAAGTTCCAGATTGCAACGTGGGGATCCCTTATAATTCATGAAGCCATTTATTTCTTGTTGTGTTTACCTGGATTTTTATTTCAATTTATACCTTACATGAAAAAGTACAAAATCCAAAAGGTAAATGTGATGGATTTGAGATAGGATGTTATAATTTGTGTGTTTGACTATTTAAAAGCAAATGTATCTGGGGATTTAGCTCAGTGGTTCCACCACCTGCCTCACAAGTGCAAGGTCCTGTGTTTGATCCCTGGTACAAAAAAAAAGCAAATGTAGCTTTGTTTTGAGAGACTCTTAATCAGTACTATAGAAAAATAAACAATAGACACAAACAAAATTTAAAATATAGAGTATATAAGAGTAAAAAAATTGAGAAATTAACTTTTGTAATATATTTTATTTAATCCGATGAATCCAACTAATAAAAGAAAAAATGTTAATGAGGTTCTTTTATAAGTCATTGAGATTCACTGTGTACTTTTTTTTTTTTTTTGGTACTGGGGATCGAACTCGGGTCCTTGCGCTTGCGAAGCAGGCCACCAAACCGCTCAGCTAAATCCCCGGCCCTCCACTGTGTACTCTATACTAAGTTTAGCCTATCAGAGTATTCAGTAGGTATATGTTGGTACTGTATTGTACAGCATAAGAATTGTTAAATTAGGATTTAAGTAGATACGGTGTTGATGTACTTGGGATTTGTGAATTTTAATTTTAATTTTAATTTTTAAACTAGCCAGATGATTAGGTGGAAAGCTCACTTTATGCTTAGAATGTATGGGGCCATGGGTTCAGTCCCCAGGCACACACACACACACAAGCTAGAAAAGAATTTTGTTTATTGTGGCCTGTAAAATGATTCATAGAAAAATATATGATAGATAAATAGAAGATGAGCTGTTTGATGCCTGGTACCAAAAGTGGGGGGCGGGATTTAGCACAGCGATTCTGCTGCCTGGCTTGTAAGCACAAGATCCTGAGTTCAATTCCCCGGTACCAAAAGGAAAAGATGTGTGATTCAATTGCTGAGTGCTTTAGAAATTCTAAGATAACACCAGGTACAGTGATACATATCTGTAATCCCAGCCAAGGCTGAGGCATGGTGGTCACAGACACCCTGGTGAGTTATCAAGACACTGTTGCAACATAAAAAGAGTTGGAAGGTAGGTCAGTGATAGAGTAGCTGCCTAGCAAAGCCCTGGGTTTAAGCCTTAATACCACCTGGAAAACAAAACAAAGCTAAGAATATTTGAGAATTACATTATTTAACTTATAAAACATTTATTTTTATAATTCCTCCAACCTCCAAAATAGAAGCTGCTGTTGGTGATGAGAGAGTACTAAATAAGGACTTCTGCCTTCAGATAGAATGGATGACTTCCCAGTAGATGCACCAGGCTACCTGCTTGGAGGAAGGAAGTTTTATAGGAATGAAAATCCTCGCAGGATCTATTTCTTTCCTCCCAAGATCATACATTTTGTTGTTGTTGGTACCAGGGATCAAACTCAGGACCTTCACTTGTGAGGCACGTGGTGGCACCACTGAGCTATATCCCTGGCCCTCCCAAGATCATACATTTTAATCTCCAATATTTTCACTTGAAGATACATGTACTAAAAGCATTTCTGAAGAAGGTTGTCCCAGTGAGGGTATTCCTTCATAGGTGAAGTCACACATACTGACATAAAATAACGGCGAACTTTGATGTTGTACTGGGCATGAATTTTTTGTTAACCGTCCTAACTGATGTATGTTCTAAACAATACAGCATATGGGTCTGTTAGTTATAGTTGATTTGACATTGTAATTTCTGTAGCTACATGGGCATCAGATGCTACAGAGGAAATTGTCACCTCAAGGCTGCATGTTCATTTTAGTTCAGTTGATCATCCTTGATCACAGATGATGCTCAGAGTAGAAATATAGAGAGGCAGTGTAATTGTAATGCATCTCGTCTAAGCCCCCACTTTATTGTTCAGGAAACTTGTGAGTGTCATAGGCTAGTTGGTTATTGGCAGTGTGGTTTTAGAGCTGTGGTCTCTGGGTTTTAACTTCAGTATGTTTCCTGTTTTTGCCAGAAAGATGCCTTTATGAATTTTAAAAACCTAGATTTTTAGTCCAATTCTCTTTAACATCTTTTTTTGGTACTGGGAATCAAACTCACTTGCACTTGCAAGGCAGGTGTGACACCACTGAACTAAATTCCCGGCCCTATCATTTTTTTTTTTAAATAAGTACTTTCTCATCTAGGCAGTCTTTTAAATTGACTAATTTAATGTTTTTGATAAGGGCTTGCAAAGCAACTCAATATCTCTCTGAGCTTTTTTGAACATCTACATCGACTTCTCTTTTCTTATTTTAAATTTGAATTTCATCTTCAGGGCACATTTCTGAAGTTCTTTTAGGTTCTTGGAGTTTATAATCAGGCCATTGTATGTGAATAAAGTGTACTTTTTCCTTGGAACAAACACTACCGAAGCATCTCTGAGCCCGCCCAGTACGTCTCCTGTGCCGTGTGTACACGTGCTGACGCTGGGTCACCTGACTGTAGTGCAGTCCGGGGAACACCAGACAGTGCCTGGCTGTTGCGCTTCTTTGAGGTCGTTGTGGCTGGGATTATCTATTAGGTTTTTCACCTGTTTAGGTAAAGTAGTGATACTAGTTTTGAAGAGCCTTAGCTACTGTAATATAAAATTAATATAACAAAATCTGTTACGGACATTAGAGAAGAAGTCAGGAATTTCAGTTTGTACTTCTAGATGTGAGGCTATACTCTTGACAGCAGAAATTAATGTTAAATGTGATTTTTCTCAATAGGATAAACCAGAGTCATATGGAGGCCAATGGAAATGTTTTAAAGTACTTCTTTTTAATCATTTTTGTATCCAGCTGCCTTTGATTTGTGGAACCTATTATTTTACAGAGTTTTTCAGCATTCCTTATGAATGGGAAACAATGCCAAGATGGTATGTAGACAAAAACTCAATTTTGATACTCAGTCATGATTTATTACCCAATTAAATTATACTTGATGTTTACCTTCTTTCTTCATTGGGTTAATGTTTGCTTTGATCTTGAGAAGTAAATAAATAGAAAAGTGGACCATAGCACACACTTTAAAATGTTCCCTTTTTTCTATATTTTAATATATTTCATTGGAAGTGAGTTCCAACATCAGAAGCTTTATGATTATGTAGAAATTTACATGATTATACTAAGAAACATGATAGATTTTAAGTCCAAAGTGAATGAATAATATGAGAGAATAGTTTACGTGGTTTATAAAATTGTCCGTAGTCCATACAGAAATAAATATATATTTATGTATAATCTGAGTGTAAGTACTGTGTTCTTGCTCAGATAATTTAAATTCAGTTTTTTGTACCTGACATAATTGAATACAGATTTACGGCTGCCCCTCCATATGTATACCTTCTGTATTCATGTATTCACCAAACTGTAGATTGAAATATTTTTTTCTTTTATGGAGGGATTGTCCATTTGTGTTTGAGAGGAGCTTACTGTGTATATGCTGGCCTTGAACTAGCTATGAACCCAGTCTGGTCTTGAACTCATAGATAGCTATCTTCCTGCCTCAGCCTCCTGTGTTCTGGAATTGTAGGTGTGTGCCACCATGCCTGGCAGGATGAAAACAATTTTTTTTTTTTTTTGGTATTGGGGATTGAACTCGGGCCTTTATGCTTGTGAGGCAGGTGGCCACTTGAGCTAAATCCCTGGCAAAAACATTTTTAAAAGGAAAAAAAAAATTGTGTCTTTACAGGACATATTTATGTAGCATTTACATTATATTAAGAATTGTAAGTAATAATAGAGGTAATTTAAATATATGGAAGGCTGTGTATAGATTGTAACAAATCTACACCTTATAGAAGGGGCTTGAGTACGTGTGGAGTTTGGTATCACCTGGGAAGTCCTGGACCCAACCCCCTGCAGGTGCCGAGGGGTAATTGTACAATACACTTGGTCTGCATAGTGACTGTTTATCATATAAACTAATTTTTGAGTAATTTTACATTTGTATATAAATTATTTTTTGCCATTTCACAGAAATTATTTTTTGGCCTTATAACTAATAGGAAATGCAGAAATCCCCTTCTCTAGTAGAAAAGGTGTTCATGATAGTGCACATCTATAATTAAATATTACAATTAAATCTCAAAAAATATTTTTAGAAAGGAATAAGATGTAGGTTAGCAGAAGCGCTCTTATGTAGAATCTTCAAAGGCCTGAGTTCAATCTCAGAAGAAAAAAAAAAGGTAGTAGTGGTTTAAGTATTATTAAGTTCTTCGTCAATATTACTTTCTTGGAAATTCTAGATTTTGTTTTATAACTGGTTTGAAAACTGGTCTTTGGCAAAATGAAACAAAGGAAGCAGTGGTTCATCTATTTAACCTTATTTCAGGCTGTATCTCATAGCCATTATCTAGCAGTTTTCACAATTTGATGGTTAATATATGTGCAGTCAAGCTGAGAGTAGGATACTTGATGTAAAATCTTAAGCAGCAATCCTAAATAAAAGTTGTTTCGTGGGCCGGGGATTTAGCTCAGTGGTTCTGGTGCCTGCCTGGCAAGTGCAAGGACCTGAGTTCGATCCCCCCCAAAAAAAAAAAAAAAAAAAATTATTACTCATATTTTTGTCTTAAAGGTATGCGCTTTTGGCAAGATGCTTGGGCTGCTCAGTCATTGAAGATACCTGGCACTATTTCTTGCATAGGCTCTTACACCACAAAAGAATATATAAATATATTCATAAAATTCATCATGAGTTTCAGGTATGTTAGAATTATATTTAATACTTTTTGTGTTAAAGGCAAACTTTCTCCTTGTATTGCCTGAGCATTTTAAAATGATTGTCAGTGATAGAAAGTGGGTATGGTGGGGCACACCTATAATCTCAGTGTTTGGGGAGGCTGAGGCAGGAGAATTCCAAGTTTGTGGAAGCGTGGGCTACATGGTGAAACTGTTCCAAAAGCAGCAACAAAATTTGTCAGTAGTGTTTTTGCTTTTCTTTTGGCATGATTTAAGAGCATAAAAGAAATATAACACAAAACCAATTCTAAAAATTTTCTTCATCATCTAAATTTCATGGTAAATTGAGACGTGGAGGAAAAATATTCCATGAAATAATTGAGATTCGCTCCTGTGGCCAGGTGCTGTATTGGCAGTTTGATAGTGGCTGTCGTAATGTAACATTAAGGTTGTTTAAATGAGAGCCCAAAACAGTTCACTTAATATAATTATTGATTTAGTTTTAACTCATTTTTAAAAAATTAATTTTATTGCTACATCTAAGGTATACAATATAATGCCATTCGTTATCGGAGATTTGCGTCTTGACATAATCCATCTTGGTTCTTATTTTTTCTGCATTCCCCTGCCCTCCCTTCACCTCTTCCTCCCTCCCCTGTTTATAAGGACTTTGTTTCCATTTTTTCCTTTTCTCATATTCCATTCCCCTCGTTTCTTTTCCCCCACCCTCCCACCTCCCCTTCCCCTTTTCCCTTTTCTTCCTATTTCACATCTATTATACCTTTTAGTCCTTATTTACACTTTCATTTTCTCACACTGGAGAAACTGGTATTTATGCATGTGTGCCCTGTTTATTTCACTTGAGTATGGCCCAAATGGATGCAGTTTTAACTCATTTTTATTACAGATCTGACTCCTCCCTAACAACAGCAGTGTTTTTTAAAAAATTAGAACCTCTTTGACGTGGCTTCGTCCCACTGGCTGTGTTGGTGTGTTTTTACTCCTGACCGCTGTAGTCGCCCCTTATCCACAAGGGAGCCAGCCAAGCATCCCAGTTCATATGCGATGCTGTGAAATGTGAGCTGGGAGGGTCAGTACTGACAGGCAGGTCTGTGCAGAGTGGGGCCACGGGCACATGGATGATTTGTGTCTTGGGAGCCATGGTACTGATTTCATTGTACCACTCGGAGTGGTGCGCCATTTCAAACTTAGGAGGTATTTGTTTCTGGAATTTTCCCTGTAATATTTTTGGGCAGTGGTTGACCCTGGGTAAATGAAACTTTGGAAAGTAGAACCATGGATAAGGAGGGATTTTACTGTACATGGTTTGTTGTCAGTCAAACGTCAGTTTCTTGCCAGAACCAATACAAACGCATAAATACAAAATTACATTTCAAGGTCCAGGGATTTAGCTCAGTGGTGCCACCTCCTGCCACACCAAGCACACAAGGTCCTGAGTGCGATCCCTGGTACCAAAAAAAAAAAAAAATTTACATTGCAAGTCAGTTGTTTACTGTCTTTATTTTGAACCATTAAAGATAATTAAGATTTTATGCCCCAAGAACAAAAAGATACTTTTATTGAGAACTATTATGTATATTTGTATAGTCAGATATATTATCACTAATACAGAAAATTGAGCTTTACAAAAAACTACATGCATAAGTAGAATGTGTTCTCCAGAAAAGCAAAATCAATAGTGTATATATTGGTGGTGGTGGTGATGCATTTAAGGAATTAACTCACAGGATTGCTGGGGTTGCAAGTCTGAAATCTGTAGGGCAGCCTGTAGGTTGGGAACTTGGTACGAATGGGTATTGTGGTGTTGGGTCCCTATTCTGCATAGGAACAAGTCAGAAGTTCAGACACGGTTTCTATGTTACAGTCTTGAGGATTCCTTCTGCCTCAGGAAACCCGAGTCTCTTCTTTTAAGTCCTTCAGCTGACTGGATGAAGCCCACTGTCTTCATGGAAAATAACTTTCCAACATCAGGGACTACTACTAATTGAAACATCAGCCACATCTAAGACATAACCTTCATAGCAACTGGTGTTCAGCCACACGGTTGAGTGTTATATGTAGCCTGGCTAAGTTGATGCATACAATGAACTATTACAGTATATTAAGAAATTTTAAGGAATTCTTCCTCTGTTTGTGCTAGGCTCCATTTGGAATGGAAGCGGAATATGCACATCCTTTGGAAACTCTGATCCTTGGGGCTGGATTTTTCATTGGAATCTTGCTTTTGTGCGATCACGTAGTTCTTCTTTGGGCTTGGGTGACCTTGCGTTTGGTAACAACTATCGATGTCCACAGGTAAGTTACAGTTTCTGTTCACATATGAGATGGTTATAAGATTATCTATTTCTGAGTAGACTAATAGAAGTTAATCTTGTGTTACTGTTTTTTAAAAGAATACAATCATTTGATAAAATTTCCAATAATAGAAATATTTTTGTATTCCAGTCCGTGCTGTTACCATTTTTACAGCAGAAATGTACTATGTAGGCAAATTAAGTAACCGAACCAGTAATTTATTTATCTTGTATTAAACGTGAATCTTAACTTGTATTTTGGCAGGGCTGGGAATCAAATTCAGGGTTTTGTACATGGTAGGCAAGTGCTGTTCCACTGAGCTACATCCCCAAGTTAAATCTCACTCTTGGTTTGAAAATATATTGACGCTTTCAGCTCTCATTGAGTAAGACCCTTTCCAATCATCTCTGTCTGACCCCTAATGAAAGTATTTTCTTGTAGTACAGACATACTTCAAAGACTTCCTTTCTGTTCATTCAGATGTTTTGAATTAAATTATTTGTTAAATACCTTTCTACATGCTTAATAACTTCACATCATTTTAAAATTACATGTTCCAAGTTTGACTTGGAACTTAACTACAGCTAGAAATGCAGAATATCAAATTTTCTATATCTGATTAGAAATAAAGGAAGATACTTTAAATATGACCCTTTGGAGTCCTTATGTTTTCCCAGCTATTGAAAAGGATACTGGTATTTTAATTAGTTATGGTATAGTTAGTGCCAAATGTCATTGCCTCAAACAGTAACAGAAGGTGCTACACAATGATTCTTGGGCTCAGCTTTTCTTAAAAGAAATAATTAAAGGGGCTGGGGATTTAGCTCAGTGGTTCGGTGGCCTGCCTTGCCTTGCAAGCGCAAGGACCCGAGTTCAATCCCCGGTACCAAAAAAAAAAAAAAAAAATTAAATACTTGATGTTAAATTGATGTAACTTTTCCAAAAAACATAAGTAGTATTAGAAACATTATTTACATCTATTACAGATTATGATGGAAAAGCTCCAAATGAAAGTAATTCTTAAAAGTGAATGTCTGAAAATTCGTTGCTATAACTTTGCTCATCTCCTGATGTATAATTTCCATGGATTTTAAAAATTTCCTTCCTTAAAGTGGTTTCTAAAATGCTTTTTAAAAAGTATTAAAAAGTTTAAAAAAAAACTTTTCAAAGTTTTTGCTTTTTGTAAACATGTCTGAAGTGAAATAATTTAGACAGAGTGGAATAGGCTATTCATGTCGACTCTGATATGTTTGTTTTGTTAATAATCTCATCTCTTTTTTTATTTCAGTGGCTATGATATTCCTATCAACCCTTTAAATTTCATCCCTTTCTATTCTGGTTCCCGGCATCACGATTTCCATCACATGAACTTCGTTGGAAATTATGCTTCGACATTTACATGGTGGGACAGGCTTTTTGGAACAGACTCTCAGTATAATGCGTATATTGAAAAGATGAAGAAGATTCAGAAAAAAACTGAGTAATCCTCTCTCAGACCTTCCTGAAGACCTACATTTTCCTGAATCGAAAGTAGTAGCTAACATTGCTTCCAGGGAGCAGAAATACACGTCTTGGCTGCTGAGTGATAAAAAGAACATTAACAACCTTTAATTATCTTCCTAGTGGGAACTTTTTCTACTTTACATACAAGGTCTGTGTATGTATAAATACATAAATGTGTATGTAAGTACAGTTTTTGTAAGGTTAGCCATGTTGCTAACCTGAAGGTTTTCAATAATGAAAGTATTATTTGTCTTTTCCCCCAGTGCTGTCCGAGACCTGAGGTTGACAGTGTCTTTAAGTCTTAGATACATATTGGTCATTCTTCATAATGGTGTTGGCCTTACCTTTGAAACATTTTTTAGAATCCACCTAAAATGTAACATGACTGGAACTGCAGGAGCAGCCAATTCCAAGAACCTGGCTGGAGCTGAGCAGTTTAGGGCGATGTTTTTAGGGAGTTATTTTTATTGCAGTACACTGTTGGTGTCTATAAATTAAAACATTGCTGATTTGATGTAGGTGGAATATTTCAGAAGGTTTTTCAAATTACTTAAATTCGTTAAAAATTCAATTTTATTTCTGCTATTTTTCCCATTCGTTTTTGTATAGTTAGTTTTCTTTATATTTAAACCTGTACCTTGAAACTTTGTGAACTGACTTGCTGTATTTGCACTTGGAGCTATTGAAATAAATGTGATTTTTGCCTGCCTTTTCTGGCTTCCAGTTTTGAGTATTCGCTGTCACCTTTTATTGTATAAGGAATTCACCAGCTGGGTGTGATGGGCATAGTGGTATACACCTGTAATCCCAGCGCCTGCTAAACTGCTGCCTGCTGGTTTTGCTTCCATGGGGGTTTATCAGGCTGGTCTGTTGTGGAAAATTCCACTGACTCAGTAAAATGGCAGATACAGAAGCAGTTCGTTGCTGTGCTTAAAAATTTTTTTCCCACAGATGAGACAATAAAGTTGAACTTTTTAGAACTGATAGAATCTCAGCATTCTGAATTCTCCAGTACCAAATCAAATACTGTAATTCTTAGTAGATAGTGGTGTTTGTTTTTTTTTAAACTGGTGGCACACTCCTGTAATCCCAGCTACTCGGGAGAGATGCTGAAACAGGAAGACTGCAAGCTAGAGCCCAGCTTGAACGAGGTAGCAAGGTCCTGTGTAAATGTCAATAGACATTTTTAAAAAGCTGTGATGTAGCTTAATGCAAAGACCACAAAAAAAAAAAAAGACCAGTCATTTTCTGAGAACTTTTTTCCTGTTACACTATGAGCTACCAAAATATTCTCCATTGTAACCAAATCCTTTTTTTTTTTTTTTTTTTTGGTACCAGGGATTGAACGCAGGTCTTTGTGCTTGCAAGGCAGGCCACTGAACCGCTGAGCTAAATCCCCGGCCCTGATTGGGCTTTTACTGAAACTCAAGACTGAGTTAAAACTGAAATGCCAGTCATAACTCAAGTTGTATGTCAGGCTGGTTGTTACTTTATAACATTCCTAGTTCATACCTGCCCCCCTTGCTGCTGCATGTGTGTGTAAAAGTGACAGCGTCTATTTCTCAAAACAGCACTTTTGGGGCTGCACTTAATGCTGTTTAATTATGATACCTATAAGAATGCTTTCCACCTAGCGCTCACGAGGCTGGGGGTAGGATTGTAAGCTTGAGGCAGCTTGGATGTGTAGTGAGTTCAAGGCAGCCTGGACTATATGGCAAGACCCTGTCAAGAAAATTTGTTTTCTTTCCTTAATACACATGCACAGACGTGAATTAACAATAACAGACGATTCCCCTTCCAGCCTGTAGGGGGAGTGACCTCTTCTGATGCTTAACATTTTTAAGCAATTCAGTACACTTAGATTTCACGTGTGGTGCTAGAGATGGAACACAGGACCTTGTGCATGCTAGGCACATGCTTTTAACTGAGCTGCACTTCCCACCCGCTCTTTGTAGCCAAATTAACATTTCCAGAGCACTGACTATGCCCTGATTCGTGTGGGCTTTTGATTCACATTCTCATTAAATTTCAGCGATAGGTGTCATTTCTTCCTGATAGATGAGAGAATTGTCTGAGAGGTTAGGGTCCTGGGGCTGACTGTGCTTTGTATCTATGACATTCACTGCTACAGAGCTGCACTGTGAAACTCCAATAGTTAGCAAGTCTCAGTCCACATCCCTGCCTTTCTACCAAGGTCTTCCTCCTACTTCAGACTAGAGAACAGTCCACTCCCCACCCTCAGCTTGGTGACACCACTCCCAAATTGCACCATTTTGCATTGCTGCCTCTCTGCCCAGAGATTTCTCTCCAAGACTTCGCACTTTCAGTCTTCTGTTCCTTTGCTCATGCTTAACTCTCAGCAGAGGCATTTATTAACATGGTCAAAGGCACCTGGGTGGTGAGTGGCAAAACCTCTATTCTGAATGTGTGAAAGTGCTTGTGAAACCATTTTAGGTGAGTAGGCAGCAAATCAGTCTAAATGAGTTTTGTATGAGGTGTGGTTTAAAATATTAAAACCTCTATTCTGAATGTGTGAAAGTGCTTGTGAAACCATTTTAGGTGAGTAGGCAGCAAATCAGTCTAAATGAGTTTTGTATGAGGTGTGGTATTTAAAATATATATATATATATTTTTTTTTACAGTAGAAGATGCATTTCCATTCACCCCCTTCAAAACATTCCCTCATGCTTTGAACACACAGCCCGTCAATCTTGCCACTTTTAAGCAGTTTTGGAATTCCATTCCTGTGTCCTTAGTTGTGCTACCATCGCTGCTTTGATGTCCTGAAGCAATTCAAAACATTCGTCTTTTGTGGGCCTTTTGACTTTGAGAAAGAGCCAGAAGTCCAGTGCTGCCAGATCCAGTAAATCGGGAGCATGGGTTGCTCCACAGTGCACCAGCTGCCTTTGTGTTGGGTGGCTCTTGGCAGCATTCACCATATTCTTTTTATCACATCTCATAAGAAGTTCATGAAACAGGACTTCAAGACTGCTTCACAGAGTGCCAAGAATACTGGGAAAAGTGTGTCTGAACTAAGGGGGAGTACTTTGAGGAAGGTTAATGGCAATGTGTCTTTTAATTGTAATTTTCCAAGTTGAAACATCATTTGTCAGGCCTGGGGAATTTAGCTCAGTGATTCTGCTGCTTGCCGTGCAAGCGCAAGGTCCGTCCGGAGTTTGATCCCTGGTACCAAAAAACAAAACAAAACAAACAAAAAAACCATATGTTTTGATTACACATTATAAGTTTTTTCTGTGGATTGAGTTCAATTTCTTCAGAGAGGAATCTTTAAACCTCTGGAACAGAAAATGCTCAGAAGCCATTACTGTAGGCATCAAATGTGAGAAGGAGGCGAGGACCAACAGCCCTGTGTGCCCTGTCAGAGCCCCTGTGTTTTGATCACAGGCTCTCCTCACCCAAGTGCTCCTCTACCTGGAGAGTCCTGAAACTTCAATTTCTCTGCAAAATAAACGAGTGCTTCATGAGTGGTGGCTGTATGGAGCTGGAGAAGGGATCTGTGGCTTAAATGTTTTATAATGGGAGTGTTGAATACAGTGGGCTCTTGACCTAAGAACTGAAGGGCTAGTTCTAACTCAAGTTGGTCAATTGCCTTCAAAGTCTCTCCTGTATAATTTTAGGCCACACTTTCTTCATGTCCTTAGAGAGACACCCCAGGATTTGTCAGTTAATCCCACACAGGAAAAGATGTAATGTTCCTTCCAGAACTCTTTATGGGTGCCGGGGATTTGGCTTAGTGGCTCTGCTTACTGCCATGCAAGTGCAACGGCCCGAGTTCGATCCCCAGTATCAAGAAAATACCCACAAAAACAAACACAAAAAAACAACTCTTTAAGGGTTAGACCTGTACCTGAGACCATCTGGAAGCACAAGTTGCTGGCATTTGGGTCGTAACTCAAGTCTTTTGTTCATAAGTTAAAAGTAAAATTCCAGTTATAACCCAAGTTTTTCATATGTCAGGCTGGTCATAACTTGAAGGTCCCACTGTAGATCAAAAAGTTGGGTTTTAGTATTTTTACAATACTGTAGTAAGTAATCTTCAATGACATACACCAGGCAAACACACAAGAAAAACACAGCTGATGAGTGAGTACATCCAATGTCATCACTGATCAAGAGCTTGACTATTTCTTGTACCAATTTTCTATGCTTGACCAGAAATATAGTTAAGAGCCTTTACCTGCCCAAAAAACTGCATCCTAATCATCTTGACCAATGAAAGCTACTAAATGAAAAGGCAAACCATATTCATGGACAAAATGACCTAACACCACTACCTCCCCAATTTATCCACAGATTCATGCAATCCCTAGCAAAATCCCAGCTGCTTTTTTCTGGATATTGTCAAGTTGGTCGTAAAATGTATACAGAAATACAGGTGATCCAGAATAGTTATAATAATCTTGAAGAACACAGTTGAAAGATTTGCATTTCTGAGTTTTAAACTAAAACAAAATTAGCTTATCAATACAATGTTATATAAGGATATATAGATAAATGGAATAGGATTGGGACTCAAATTTAAATCAGTTGATGGTCAATTGATTTTGATAAGGGTATCAAAACAATTCCACAAACAATGGCCTTTTCAATAAATGATGCTAGGACATGCAAATATCCTCATACAGAAGGGTAGTATTACACCTCTATCTTTAACCATATACAAAAATTAACTCAAAATAGATTATAGTACTAAATGTTAAATCCTTAGAAGAAAATTTAGGAATGTGCATTGGGTTGGGCTATGATTCTCACTAGTTAAAAAATCCCAGGCAACAAAATAAAATAATTGACAAATTAGACTCCATCAGGACTAAAAAAATTTGGTGTTGTAAATGATAGTATCAAGGAAATGAAGACATTTGAATATGACAGGGGAGAGAGAGCAGGGGTGGCGAGAGGGAGAGAAAAGGAAGGGAAAATATGAATGGGAGAAATAATTTTGCATATTTTCTATATGATGAAAATCTTGTATCCATAATATGCAAAGAATTCAAACTTAGTAATTAAAAACACAACAAATTGCTCAATTTAAAATGGGGCAAAAGATATGAATTGATACTTTTCCAAAGAAGATTAGTGTAAAAAGATGCTCGATATAATTTCTCAGAAAAATAGAAGTTTAAACCACAGTGAAATTGCTTCACTTTCATGAAGACGGCCACAATAAAAAGACAGACAATAACAGATATTGGAAAGGACTTGGAGAAATTGGCAACCTTCAAATATGTCTGTGAGAATGTCAAATGCTATAGCCGCTTTGAAAAAAGTTTGGTAGTTGCTCACAATATTAAACACAGAGTTA